CCTATTTTGTATTTTATTTAGAGACAGGGGTCTTASTGAGTTGCTTAGCACCTCACGGTTTGCTGAGGATGGCTTTGAACTCACAATCCTCCTGCCTTAGCCTCCTGAGCTGCTGGGATTACAGGTATGTGCCACTGCACCTGGCTTTACTAAGTTTTAGCATTTTGACAAGTTAATCATGTTTATTTGTAATTATAAGGAAATAATAGAATTGAAGTGTTGAAAGCCACCTGAAATAATTCTTTCATGTAATAAGAGAGACAGGCCTAGAGAAATGAATACTCACTTAAGGCTACACTGCTGGCTGAAGATACCAGGACTAGAACTTCTACCAAATACTTCAATTCATTTTATTTTTCTGTGCCRTTTTATTTTGTTCAGAGGGGATTTTTATTTTTTAATTTTTATTTCAAGAGAGAATTTTTAATTGATTTTTTTATAACGAGCAGATTAATTTTAATTCAAGTTAAGAATTTATAGTTTTTCTACTTCTATATGGCTTTTATTGGCTTTAATCATGTATAACTGGTTTAATTACATAAAAACAGAGTAATAAGAACTGAATTACAAACAAGTCACTTAGCCTATTTCCTCACTTGTAAAATGGAAGGTTCAAATCAGAGGCTCTTTTTTTAAAAATTTTTTAATTGTAGATGGACAATACCTTTATTTTATTTATTTATTTTCATGTGCTGAGTATCTAACCCAGTGCCTCACATGTGCTAGGGAAGCACTCTACCATCAAGCTACAACCCCAGCCTCTCAGAGGGTTCTTAAAATTGTTTTTCTGTCTCTCAACATTGCATTGAAATCCTTTTTCCTTTTTTGTCCCCCAGACCACTTCACTAATAAGCAAATTCTTATCCTGTTTGTAATCACAAAATATTCTATATAGTTTCCCACAGAGGATAACATTTTACTCTCAAGCTTTTTTCTCTCTTTAWTTTTTTTTTTAATTATGGCAAAATACAACAAAAATTACCATTTTGACAATATTTAAATGTACTAATCCCTTGATGTGCACCTGGCTTGGTTCTATCTTTTGGCTATTATGAATAAGGCTGCTATGAAAATAGGCACATAAATATTTCTATAAGATCTTGTTTTCTTTTTTGGATATATGTCTGAAAGTGGAATTGCTGGTTCATATTTCTTTTTAAAAAATTTGGGCTTGGGTTGGGGATGTGGCTCAAGTGCTCACCTGCATGCATGTGGCCTGGGTTCTATCCTCAGCACCACATGCAAACAGGGATGTTGTGTCCACTGAAAACTAAAAAAAAAATATTAAAAAATTCTCTCACTCTCTCTCTAAAAGAAAAAAAAAAAATTGGGCTTCTTTTCCCCGCCCTTGGTACCAGGGATTGAACTCAAGATTACTTAACGGCTGAACCACATCCCTAGCCCTTTTTATTTTTTATTTGGAGATAAGGTCTCACCAAGTTGCTTTGGACCTTGCTAAGTTCCTGAGGCTGGCTTTGAACTTTCTATCCTCCTGCCTCAGCCTCCTGAATCGCTGGGATTATAGGAATGCATCATTGCACCCTGCATGAGCTTTCTATATTTTAAAGTCTATTTAAATTCTTTGTTCTCTGAAATATTTTCTAAATAGAAATATGGGCAGATTACTTAAAAGGGATGGAAGGACTGGGGTTGTAGTTCAGTGGTACTGTATTTACCTAGCACGTGTGAGGCACTGGGTTCAATTCTCAGCAGCACATAAAAATAAATAAATAAAATAAAGGTATTGTGTCCATCTACATCTTAAAAAGAAAAAAAGGGGGGAGATGGAAAATTTAAAAAWTTTTTTTTGAAACTAGGTGTGACTGTGTTTATAGTCCCAGTTCAGGAAGCTGAAGCAAGAGGCTTGCTTTAGCCCAAATGTTGTAGGCCAGCAATACCCCTCAACAACAACAAAAATAAAAACTTTGAAAAGCAGTTGGTTGCATGTAAATGTTTAACAATTAACTCCAGGGAAGGTAGAATGCAGTCTCTTAGGCTTGGGCTAGGAATGAGAGACCAAGCTGTAGGAAATTACATTTTGCCTTCTGTAAGTTCTAAGGACTGTGGATTTTATTCCTGACAAATTCAAGCCAACACATTTAAGATCCTTTAAAAATATGCAGAATTTCAAAAACTTAATTTATCAATTATACTATATTTAAAAATAAATTACTTTTCGTTTGGCATGGTGGCACACACTTGTAATCCCTGCGGCTGGGGAGGCCGAGACAGGAGGATCATGAGTTCAAAACCTGCCTCAGCAATTTATCGAGGTACTTAGCAACTCAGGGAGACCCTTCCTCTAAATGAAATATAAAAAGGGCTGGGGATGTGGCTCAGTGGTTAAGCACCCCTGGGTTCAATCTTCAGTACCAAGAACCAAACAAACAAAGAAACAAACTACTTTTAATACTCTGATATATATCCTTCCCAACTTCTCTATTTATACACATATACATAGTTTACAAAAAGAGGTTATACCATATTAAATTTTTTTTTTTTAGTTGTAGATGGACACAATACCTTTATTTATTTTTATGTGGTGCTGAGGATTGAACCCAGTGCCTCACATGTGTGAGGCAAGCACTCTATCACTGATTTATAGCCCCAGCCCTCTCATAGCTATTTTTGCATTTAACAATTCATAAATATAGTACTGTATCAAATCAGTCTGTTATCATTTAGGAAATTAATGTTTTTTTTAAGATTATAAAAGTAATAACTTTATTACAAATGCTATGAAATATATAAAGTAAAAAGTGGCCATATCCGATAGTTGTTGTTTGTATATCATCATTTTCAGTAACTACTTGGTATTCTGAATATTGACTTCTTTTGTTGGGGGTGTTGGGARTTGAATCTAGGGCCTCAGGCATGTTAAGCACACACTGTGCAACTGAGCCATATGTATTGGAACTTTTAAATGTAAATTTTCACCCAAATTCAGTCCTTATATACTAATGATGGTCTGTGGCAGTAGTCTCCATTTTTCTCCCTTAGAGGTTTACTACAGAGCATATGCTAATACCCAAGTTAAGTAAATTGGGGTTGTTTAGATTGCTACTATAGTATTGCTACTATTGTATATAGAATGTTATCTTTTCTTGAATACTTTGTGACTCTTCAAGGTCTCTAATTTTGGTGGTACACATCTGTATCTCTTTTGTTAATGGGTTATTTGTAATAAAGGTAACTGTGACTACACCTGATATAAATTTGTTCTGTGTTTTACCTTAACCATAGTTCCTGCCAGAGGTACAAAAATACTCAATAACTGATGAGAATGTCAGTGACTCTAGGCAGTACTGGATCATTGTTTGATTAATATATGACAATAGTTATTAGTATCTTAATTTAAATCTAAGAAAGATTTATGGAGTAGTGACTTCAAAGTGTTAAGTATTAGCCGGACTTGGTGGCACATGCCTGTAATCCCAGTACTTGGGAGGCTGATTCCAGGGATTGCAAGTTTATTGCCAGCCTCAGCAGTTTAGGGAGAGCCTGTCCAAAAAAAATAAAAAATAGGGGCGGGGGGGGGGGCTCTCTGAAATTCAGTTCCCAGCAGGGATGGAGGGAATTAAGCAGTTCTTATCAAGGTATAGGGGTAAACACCTGTAATCCAACCTGCTAAGGAGGGTTATAGGATCCCAATTTCAGGCCAGGCCAGGTAAATTTAGTGAGACCCTCCCTGTCTCATAATAAAATTTTATTTCATTTTACTTTGTTTTTGTACCAGAGATTGAACCCACGGGTATTTAACCACTAGCCACATCCCCAGTCTCCTTATGTTTTATGCTAAGTTGTTTAGGGCCTTACTAAAGTGCTGAGGCTGGCTTTGAACTTCCTATCCTCATGTCTCAGCCTCCTTAGTTGCTGGAATTACAGGTTTGCACCACTATGGCTGGCAAACATAATAAAATTTTAAAACAAGGGGCTGGGAATATAGGTCAATGGCAGAGCTCTTGCCTAGCATTTGTGAGGCCATGGATTTAATCCCCAGTAATGGAAAAAATAAAATAAATTTCTAGAAGGGCTGTAGGTATAGCTCAGTAGTTTATCTCTTGCCTAGCATGTGTGAAAGCCTGTGTTTGATCCTCAATAACACACACACATAGTCCTAGATAGTTAAATTTTTTTTTTTTGGTACTGGGGATTGAACCCAGGGGAGCTTAACAACTAAGCCAAATCCCCAGCACTTTTATATTTTATTTTGAAACAGGCTCTCACTAAGTTGCTTAGGGTCATTTAAAATTGTTCAAGCTGATTTTGGAATTTCAATTCTTCTGCCTCAGCCTCCCAAGCCACTTTAAATTTTTTTTTTTTTTTTTTTTTTAATAAAGAACAGGTTATTATGAATAAAGGGTTTGGGGAAGGAATACTGAGGATTAAACCCAGGGGCACTTTACCACTTAGCTACATCTCCAACCGTTTTTTACTTTTTAAGACAAGACCTTGCCAGGTKCGATGGCACATGCCTGTAATTCTAGGATCTCAAGTTTAAGGCCATCCTCAGCAACTTTGCAAGACTCTAAGCAATTTAGTGAGACCCTGTCTCAAAGTAAAAAATAAAATAGGGCTCTGCAGATGTGGCTCAGTAGGTAAGTGCCCCCTGGATTCAATCTGTTGTACAAAAAAACCAAACCAAAACAACAACAACAAAAAGGGAGGGGTATCACTAAGTTGAGTTTGGCCTTGAACTTGTGATTCTCCTGACTTAACCTCTGGAGTTGCTGGGATTATAGGTCTGCCACTGCAGCTGGCTAGATTTTTATATACTTTTTATTTCCATATTTTGTTCCTTTTTTTTTTTTTTTGATAGTGCTGGGTGATGATCAAACCTAGAGCCTGGAGCATGATGGGCAAAAAATTAACCATTGAAAATGAATGTTTATTACATATTATTAAAATATTTAAAAATGTGATGAGAAAAGAAAAAAGAAGTATCATATTTACTAATATGTCTTTTGGTTTACAAAATAATGATCTGTGCTAATTTCTAGTTCCAGAAAGCTGACTCTGATCTGGATTACATTCAGTATAGGCTGGAATATGAAATCAAGAGAAATCATCCTGATTCAGCAGGCCAGGTAATCTATGAAAGAACTAAACCTTTTTAACTGAATATTTTGTAAAAAGATTTTCTGATAATGTTTCTCAAAGTAACATATTATAATTATTATATTACTAAGTTTATARTCTTAAAGTCTTGTGATAGAAGCTTGGTCACATCATAATAGAGAGATTATACCAGTAATTAGTGAAGTTTGTAGCTACTTTTCTTATTTTTTTCTAACTTTTACAAAAGAATGATTGAATTCAGAGATACTAATGAGCCAGTTATGGAAGCCTCAAAATTTTCAAGAGAYAATATAGCTACCACTAGGACAGTGGGTCTTCAATAATTTTAAGGATAGAAATCCTGGAAGTCTTGATAGTCTCTGAGGATGATCATGATATACTATTAAATTTGCTATTAAATATTGAAATATGAGCAGTGATTTTTGGGTACAATTATATATTTATCTTTTCTAAGGTTCAGTTGATCAGAGATATTAGCTATTTATTTATTATTTTATTTATTTTTTAAATTTATATTTGAGATGAGAGTCTCATTATGTTGCCCAGGCTGGTCTTGAACTCCTGAGCTTAAATGATCCTGCTGCCTTAGCCTCCTGAGTGTTTGGGACCATAGGCACATACTTAAACATCTGACTATAAAGTTTTTTTTCTTTTTTTTTTTTTGTACAGTGATTGAACTCTGAGGCACTCAACCACTGAGCCATATCCCTAGCCCTTGTATTTTATTTAGAGATAGGCTGTCACTGAGTTGCTTAGTGCCTCACTGTTGCTGGGGCTGGCTTTGAACTTGCGATCCACCTGTTTCAGCCTTCCTAGCCCCTGGGATTACAGCGTGCACCACCACACCCTCTCCTCTGACTATTTTTATACCCTAAAATCATAGCTATAAGTGTTCATGTTCATGGGATAAAAGCAAGTAATCTTCAAGCATTGTTTGTTAACATTAATATTTTCAGTACTTCTTTGAAATAGCATATTTTGCAATAGCATATTTTGCAGGTTTTTAAAAGAATTCCATACATTAAAAACAAACAAACAAACAAAAAAAACTTCTTTTAAAAAAATTTTTTTGGTACCAGGGATTGAACTCAGGGGCATTCGACCACTAGGCCACATCCCCAGCCCTTTTTTGTATTTTATTTAGAGACAGGGTCTCACTGAGTTGCTTAGTGCCTTGGCATTGCTGAGGCTGGCTTTGAACTTGCAGTCCTCCTGCCTCAGCTTCCCCAATTGCTGGGATTACAAGCATGCACCACTGCGCCCAGCTGAAAAAAAAAAAAACAAATTTTTTTGATTGGGTAGAAGTGTAAGGGTCCGGTGAAACGTCGGAGGAAGAGACCACACAAGAGACTGGCTTCATGCAATTGGCAAAAGGGGATTTATTGATTCAGCATGCTGAGGCTCAAGGCTCACTCAGAAAGATAGAGCAACCCAGAGCCCAGAGCAATGGTCAAGCAGAGCTTAAGTACACTTTTTGGGAAGGGCGGGGGGCTTTGCATACATCAGAACAAATCATCATGAGGCTCGGGAAAATTGAACAACAACTCTGAGACATGATTAGACATTGGCGGGAACAGGCTGGACGGGGGTGATTGGTCACTTCTAAGCGGGGTACACATTTAAACTGATTGTTTTGGGGCCTGGATGCCTACGTGCAGGGCTGCTCAGAGCCCTTAGTTATTAAACAGCCAAAGGACCAGGGGAAGTATTTACTGGGCAGTTCAGGTATTGTCCTAACAGAGGATTTTAACAATACCTGGTCCTTTACTTTTTAACTCAGGCCCTGCAGCTTGGAAACTTTACAATGCCCGGTCTTTTACACTTTAACTCAGGCTTTGCAGTTTGGAATCAGCTTAGAAATTTTACCTTTACAGAAGTATGAACTAAAGTGAGTTTTTATACAAAATTGGGAGAATTTCATGCATGTTCAGTTTTTACTCTTCATGGAATTTCAGAATTCTATGGGAGTCTATTTTTGAATATTTTTTTTTTTTTTAAAGAGAGAGAGAGAATTTTTTTTAAATGTTTATTTTTTTTTTAGTTTTCGGCGGACACAACATCTTTGTTTGTATGTGGTGCTCAGGATCGAACCCGGGCCGTACGCATGCCAGGCGAGCGCACTACCACTTGAGCCACATCTCCAGCCCAATTTTTGAATTTTTTACTCTGAAAGTAGCTTTCTTTTTTTCTTTGACTTTTTTTTTTTTTTCTGACTGAAGAACAACCAACCATTGTGGTCCAATGGTACCATCTGACTGACTAAAGGACTCTTCCAAATCACTATTTTTCCAGTTCTATTTTTAGTACTATTGTGGTAGACATTTTCTCTGCTTTCCATCTCTCATCTTTGTTTCATCTCTAGTTATTTTTCTCTTTTACAACTTGTCTGTGATGAGATTTCTGAGTTACATGTTCAGGTTTCTGGGCATATTATTTAGGAGTTGGTTTTTTACCTAATGGTCATTAATACTTACTTAATTCACTGTTGCCTTATAGTTGATTCTTCTTCACTTATACCTGATTTCTTCCCAACTCTGAACCTTTATTTCTATCAAATTAAATGTGTATAATTTGAAGAGTCACACACAAGTATAAAACTTATAATTTCCAATAGTAATTCATTGCTTCACACTCTCCCACCCTCAAGAAGGCCACTAGTTTATTTCAGTGTCTTCTATCTTTTTTCATTTTTTTGAGTGCTGGGACTTGAACTCAGGGCCTCACATGTGCTCAACACATACTGTACCAGTGAGCTATACCCCAGCCCTAGTATTTCTTTTGTATTTCTAAATAGTATGCTTATACTACATTCCCCTGGCATCTGAAATATCTACTGATTTCCTAGATATAAATGATTCTAAGTCAAATTCTAACTCTGCTTCTTATTAGCTTCATGATTTTAGGCAAGCCAGTTAACTTCCCTGTATTATAAAATGGGGCTATTCTCATAGTCCATAGGTTAAAAGAGAATAAAATTAATTAACATATGCAATGTGTTTAGAATTGTTTGATCCATAGGAAGTACTCTTCATGAGCTGTTTATTAACAGTAATTCTTGGTATAGATGATGAAGATGAAATACTACCCATATTTATTTTAATCTTCATAATTTATGGATAAATCAATATTCAAAATTTATGTTATGATTCTAAATATTGCTTCTGTCTAAACCCTGTTGAATACATTCCTGCTTTTCCTTTTGTTTTATTTATTTATTCATTTGTGATACTAGGGCTTAAACACAGAGCTACAAATATCTCCAGCTCTTTTTATTTTTTACTTTGAGATAGGGTCTCACTAAACTGCCCAGGCTGGCCTCTCACCTCAGCCTCCCAAGTAGCTGAGATTATAGGTGTGGACCACTATGCTTGGCTGCTTATTCTTTTTTYATAACTTGCTTCATTTTTTCTATGAGCACATGACTAATTCAGCCTCCTTTTCTGATGAGTGGTTTGGTAGATTGGAGATTTTTTTTTTTTTAATTGAAGTAGTGGGAATTGAACCCAGATGAGGTGCTCACTCATTCAGTTACTTTATATTTTTTATTTAATATTGAGACAGGGTCTAGCTACATTGTCCAGGCTGTACTTGAACTTGCAATCCTCCTGCCTTAGCTTCTCAGGGAGCTGGGATTACAGGCATATGTAACTGCACCCAGCAAGATTATTTTCTCTTAATTTTAATATCATTGTTTTGTTGTTTCCTAGCTTGTAGGGTTGCTGTTGAGAAATAAATGTCATTCTAATTCCAGATATTTTGTGTGTGCTCTTCTTCATGCATCTGTCTCTCTTGTACCCTCCCCCATCTCTTAGAACTTTGGGAATATTTTATTTATGCTGGAAAATTTTATTTTATTGTTTAGATTTCTTCATTAATTATTCTGTCACTTGATGGGATCCTTTCTTTCTTTCTTTTTTTTTTTTTTTTTTTGGTACTGGAGATTGAACCCAAGGTTGCTTAACCACTGAGCCATATCCCCAGCCCTTTTTTGTATTTTATTTAGAGATAGGATCTTGCTGAGTTGCTAAGGTCCTTGCTAAGTTGCTGGGGCTGGCCTCAGCCTCCCTAGCCACTCGGATTACAGATATATGCCACACAACCAGCAATAATTTTTTTTTTTTAAATATTTTTTTGGGTACTAGCGATTGAACCCAGGGGTGTTCTAGAACTGGAGTTAGGTGTGTGCCATCACACTGGGCCCCAAGAGTTCATTTTAAGAATATAGGCAGAAATGAATTTAAGGAAAGTGAATAGGACTGGAAAATTATATTCTGTATACTAAACTCAACTATTTTTTGGTCCTGGAGATTGAACCTGTGGTCTGGTGCATGCTAAGCATATGGTCTATAACTGAGTTACGTGCTCTGCTATAAGCTTGACCATTTGACCACTGAACAACATCCCCTGTCCTTTTTATTTTTTATTTTGAGACAGGGTCTCACTAAGTTACCAAGGCTGGCCTTGAATGGGAAATCCCTCTGCCTCAGCCTCCCGAGTCCCTGGGATTATAGACATGTACCACTGCACCCAGCTGATATTTTTTAAATTAATTTTTTAATTTATATGTGACAGCAGAATGCATTACAAATTTTTTTAATATTTAGTGTTTARTTGTAGTTGAATTCAATACCTTTATTTTATTTATCTATTTTCATGTGGTGCTGAGGATGAAACTCAGGGCCTTGCATGCACTAGGCAAGTGCTCTACCGCTGAGCCACAACCCCAGCCCTACAATTCTTATTACACATATAGAGCACAGTTTTTCATATCTCTGGCTGTATACAAAGTATATTCACACCAATTCGTGTCTTCATACATGTACTTTGGATAATAATGACCATCACAATCCCCCATTATTTCTAACCCCATGCCTCCTCCCTTCCCCTCCAACCCCTCTGCCCTATCTAGAGTTCATCAATTCCTCCTATGATCACTCTCCCTACTTCACTATGAATCAGCTTCCTTATAGCAGAGAAAACATTCGGCATTTGGGTTTTTAGGATTGGC